TGGTCTTCTGACCGAGTGCAATCTGGGTGTCACCCCTGTAGAAAATCTAGCTGCAGTCTCAGGACGGAGACGTGCATTACTTTTTAATGATACAGCACCCAAACAAAAAACAATACAAACAAGCAGGGTCAAAAAAAAAAAAAAAAAAAAAGGGAAAAAAAAAAAAAAAAAAAGGGATGACAACAAAATAGGAGCAGCAAAAAAAAAAAAAAAAAAAAAGGACGCCAATCTTTGTGCTACCAAGGATCTAAGCGTTGGTGGGCTCCCGGACCGGAACAGTCTCATTTTACTCTGTCAACTCAATCACCCCATACCAAGAGCGGTACACAAAGCCATAGGGGCGCATATTATGGTGCCAATACGCTCGACTCACATGGAGGCGTCCTCCAGTTCGTGGTAGTGTTTCTCTTCCCTTCTCGTTCCCATTGATTCTTTCGTTTCATCATCATGTTTTGCACAACGGAGGTCATACGCAATCGCCTCCAATCCGTTATCTCCATCGTCGACGATGTGTGTAAGATTTCGGGTGCTCCGTCAGCATCCGTGGGTATACTCCACGACAATAAGATCATCTTCACCAAGGGCCACGGAACAGTTGTCGGCAACCAGCCTAACCTTAAACCACGTCATCCTGGTCCCGATACAGTTTACGGCATAGGGTCCATAACAAAGAGCTTCGTCGTCGCATGTCTTGCAAAGGTCCGTGGGGAGGGCAAGGAGGCCAAATTTGATTGGAGTACACCGATAGAGGATCTCCTCGAGGGTTTCGAGACGGATGAGAAAATTCAGCACATGGCAACTCTTTCCGATTGCATCTCTCACCGAACAGGACTCAGTGGCGACATGTCCATCGCCCATCAAGGCGATCAAGAGTTCCTCCTCACAAAAGATGAACTCCTTCCAGCGGTTGCGACACTCGAGAAAGTCGGACAATTTCGAAACGATTGGATCTACAATAACTGGGGCTACAGTCTCGCTGGCTTAGTTCTGGAGAAGTTCTCAGGGAGGTCATTTGAGGACTCTCTGCGAGAGTACGTCGTCGAACCGTTATTACTACACAGCACAACAACAAAGCCAGACCCATACGGAGACTTTGCCTTTGCTCACGTAGCACTGGACAATGGAGACATTCACCAACTGCCCACCAAGATCCCCTTTGACAAGAGCATATTCGAAACTGCTGGGGGCATCTACTCGAGCGTCAGCGATCTTCTTGCATGGGCAAAAGCGATTCTTGCTGCTGAACAGAAGTTATACTCCGGTCCTTTGAAGGAAGTCCCAACTGTCTTGAGCAACCAAGTGCCTCTAGACAATCCGTCCAGGGATCATCGTTTCTACGGCTACGGATGGGTTCGGACGGCGCTTCCAGACGTTGTTGGCCTGCTGTCACACGGACATTGCCCAC